ACAGTACTTCATTATAATGCTGTAATGTCACACATTTTACCTTCATTTAAAAACTGCAGCTTCAACGATTTGGATATTGGTACAAGTACAATAATATTTTGATTAACTGTACAGCCCTAATACAAAATTTGGTACATTTCCAATTAATTTTTTGTTGTTCCATACAGTATATGTGGAAACAGCTAGCACAGGAAGTTAAAAAAGCTAATATTTTAGCTTTAGAGGAGCTGCTAGGATAGATTTTGCTAACCATTTTCTGGCTGTAGCTTTATATTTAGTGATACCAATCTTCTCATGCAACTCTCAGCAACAAAGCAAATGTCAAACTACACCTTTAAGTGTACATTTAAGGGTTCTCTAAACGTCCTAATTAGGTGAAATAATGGTCACTAATTAGCCCGATCCCTCCATCATTTATTAATGTGGTTAATACAGGATGCTGGCTCTCTAAATCTAAGCTTAAAGTCAAGACTGCCCAGTGCATTAATTGGTGGTTTCTAGACGTCAATCACCAACAGAGCTGTTAGCTGATATCAAGCCAGAAGGAAGAGTGCACGCTGTAGATTCACTACAATGCAGAGGAAAGGCTAAATCTTAGCAATAGGACAGTGTATGTTGGTAAGTTTAAGTTTAATAACTTTAAATTTAACTTACATTTAATTGTCACCAGTGTTGAACAGTAATGCATTACTTAGTTACATGTTACATTAATGTGGCAGTAAAGGGTTTGCAAGTTGAAATTCAGTTATTTCAATAAATCCAGTAAAGATTTTGATGACTTATATCAGTTTTCTCTCTGAATTCAGACGGACTGTCCTGGTCTGAGACATGTTAGCTTGGCGCTGGAGTTGGAGGTGTTGGGAGGTAGGACTCCCAGTTGTACCAAAGTATTTAAATGAGTTAGCCTACATTTGAGAGTTACCTGTGTTTGTTCATAGGAGGATGTGTGAACCCCCATGAAGACAAGACTGCTGCAGTGCTGCTGTGTGCATTCACTTGGGCTAATCCAGCTGTTGTTGATAAAGTTAAAAACGTAGATAGGCTGCTTGTTATAGGTCCATTGAGAAACATTTAGGAGGATCTATTGG